TCCTGCAGCGCCGCTCCTCGGCACTGCTGGACCAACCCGGCAGCACCCCAGCTGCTCTGCCCCAGGCGTCCCCAAGTCAGCTATTATATTACTTGGGGACACCTGGGATAGAGCACCTGGGGTGCTGCGGGGTTGGTCCCCGCAGCACTGAGGTGCGGCGCTGCGGACACCTACCCGGCAGCGCCCCAGCTGCTCTGTCGCAGGCGTCCAGATTCAGCTGCTGTTGAAACTGATCAGCGGCTGATTCCAGGAAGCCCGGGGCAGCGAAACTCTGCCTCGGGCTTCCTGTAGTCAGCCGCTGGTCAGTTTCAGCAGCGGCTGAATCTGGACGCCAGTTCCGACTTACGTACAAATTCAACTTCAGAACAAACCTATAGTCCCTATCTTGTACGTAACCCGGGGACTGCCTGTATAGTGTTTTGGTGAAGTATTTATATTTTACTCTTTTACAATTTAGCATGGGCAATCAGCTATTTGAAAACTCAGTGGAGAAAAATAATCTTAAAATGAGACCTTGTACACTGGTATTCAATTCAGAGCTCATTTTTACAGCTGTGATATAAGTACTAGGCACAATCTTCCCTGATAACAAAAGATAAAAACTACAGGTGTCAAATCTGCTTGGGGGTTTAAGAGGGCACAACTCACTTGAAGTCAATGGAATTGTTTCCTCTTATATCAACAATGAATTTGGCCTACAAATTGAATCACAAAATAGCACACAAATCATTTGGCTTTTATATTGCAAATCTCAGTGCCAGACATAGAATTTCTGCTCAGTTACCTCTAGTTTCATTTAAAGTTGACAACTCATTTTCTGTCTCCTCTTCTTCACACTCTTCCTTCTTAGCAGAGTCCTTAGCTTGCTGCCCTCCTCTGAGGAAAAAAAGTATTCAGTTTTTATTAACTTTACTTACACAAAGAACACTATATCGTAATAGTAAAACGCATTAAAATATTTTGAAGGATTTATACATCCATTAATTCAGATGTGTAATTGTTTCTATTGGCCAAATTCCTATTGCACCACCTCCAAAACAAAGAAGTGTGTCTTAATGACAAACAGATGATACCCTTTGTCTTACCATGGGCCTTGTCTACACAACAAATACTTTCACTGGTTTAGCAATATTGGCAAGAACCCCCTAATTTAGACATAGCTTATGTGAACACAAAGGGTATGTCTAGGCTACATGGCTCCGTCGACAGAGCCATGTAGATGAGGTTTCTAGACATAGGGAAATGAAGCAGCGATTTAAATAATCGCTGCTTCATTTGCATCAAAATGGCTGCTGCGCTGTGCAGCGGCACAGCATGGTAGTCTGGACGCTCCGTGGTTGACAAGGGAAGCCCTTGTCGACTGCCCCGTTGTGCCTCGTGGAATGAGGTTTACCAGGGTGGTCAATAAGGACTTCCCTTGTCGACCATGGAGCGTCCAGAGTACCGCGCTGTGCCGCCAAACAGCTGATCAGCACAGCATGGCAGCCATTTTGATGTAAATGAAGTGACGATTATTTAAATCTTCGCTACATTTCCCTTTTTCGAGTACACTAATCTACATGGCTCCATTGACGGAGCTATGTAGTTTAGATGTACCCAAAAGGAGCGTTTCTGCTAGCACAAAATTCAACCTCTTTGAATCGTGATCGCGATCGCTAGGCTTACGGAAACATCCTTATACTGATGTAGCTGTGTATACATTAGGGTTTTTACCAGTATAGAGTGTATGAATATTTTTCCACACACCACTGACTGATATACTCCTATGATGACAAAACTTTGCAGTATAGATCTGGTCTCTAAAGCTATTTTTTACATACCTATTAATATTTTGGGCTATAATTAGGCCTCAGGCAGATGGCAAAGCTTCACTGGCATAAACAGGGTTGCGCTGGATACAAAGAATTGGCAAAAGTGAACTTGGTGGTACGCAAATTAACTTGGTGGTACACAAATTAACTATTACAGTTGAGCGAGGAAATCCAGACTTCGGCACAAACTTAAACAGCTGCTGTAGATTTCAAGTGTTTATTTATATAAAAATTAGGTACAAAAAATGGGACTGAATGGACTTACTAGTTTTACATGATTTTGTTTCTCAGTGCAGTCATGTAACAAAAACAAAAATCTGCATTTGTCAAGGGTGTTTGCTGACTAGGGAAGCTCAGCCCCTCTGCTGACAGACTCAGGGATCTCCTTGGGTCTGTCAGCAGATGGATGGGCTCCACAGCCTGCCCATGCCCCAAGGCTGCTGAGACTATGCTGACCCAAGCCAGGACACTCTGGTCTAGGGGCTCTCTGGTCCAGCAACAGCATGCATTTTCCCCTTACTCCCTGACAAAAGGGAAAAGCCAGCAATGTCCTGGTATGAATCATGGAGAGGGGAGAGAGGGAACTTCAGCCTCCCCACCCCTCTGCCCTCCTTCAACGGCACCTGGAGGGTGGGAGGCTCAGGATTGGGGGAAGGAGTAGCACCCCCCAGTCAGACCCTTTCACCTGCCTGATGATTCTGTCTCTTTTCTGCATGGTTTTAGGAGAAGCAAACCCATTGCAGGCACATCCCAGTTTCCTGGCACAACCAAACCCTTATGTTGCCTTAAGTCAGGAGTGGGTAAAGACCAGCCTGTGGGCCAGATCTGATCTGCCAAGGTTAGTCCTTAGTGGGCCCCCACACCACCGTAATTACTTGCACCTCCGCAGGTATGGGGGATTGCAGCTCCCATTAGCTGTGGATCGCTGTTCCTGCCAATGGGAGGTGTGATCGCCTACGCCTGTGGAGACGCAGGTAACTATAGAGGCAGCAGTCCATTAGGGGCTAACCCTGGTGAACAGCCACTGCTGTACTGCCCACCCCTGCTTTAAGTTATAAGAGGTAGCTGTGTGCCAAGTTTGGTGGTCCTAGCCCTTACTGTTTAAGAGGAGTTCTTGAATAGACAGACAAACTTTCTCTCATATAAAGTAGATACGTTTAAATTGGTATGCTATTATTTTGCTTCAGAGGGGTAGCTGAGTTAGCCTGGAACAGGAAAAACTTAAAAAACAACAAACAGACTTGTAGAATCTTAAAGACCTACAAAACATGTAGATAGTATCATGAGTTTTTGTTGGTACAACCCACTTCTTCAGATGACTTCTTCAGCAGTCTACATGTTTTGTTAGTCTTTAAGGTGCTACTAGTCTATCTGTTGTGTTTTAAGTTTTTCCTGTTACAGACCAACTCGGCTACCTCTCTGAAGTTTATTCTATTATTGTTTGACAGTGTGGTTAAAACTGTGATGAATCATATTATTTTTTTGAGTTGATTTTATTTGAGTTAGCTGTATTGACAACCTTAATTGTATGTTCAATCAACAGACTCTGTCCAATCAGATGTAGCTAGATCCTAAACAGTCACTGTTAATCTTTCTACCAAGAATGTGTGAGAGAGAATCTGGGGCCTAGTTTTAAAACTCTTAACTGATCAATTGCGGCAGTGTACTGTGAAGCTCAATATTCCTAGTAAATAGGAATAATTAGCTAATAGTGTAATTCTTATACCCTTCTCTATTGCTACCAAGTGTTGTGATAACATTTAAGAATGTAAGAACGGCCATACTGGGTCAGACCAAAGGTCCATCTAGCCTAGTATCCTGTCTGCCGACAGTGGCCAATACCAGATGCCCCAGAAGGAGGGATCACAACAGATAATCCTCACATGATCCCTCCCCTGTCACACACCACCAGAGAAACAGAGGCTAGGGACACCATTCCTACCTATCCCAGCTAATAGCCATTGATGGACCTAACCTCCATGAATCTTTTTTGAACCCTGTTAAAGTTCTAGCCTTCACCGCATATTCTGGCAAGGAGTTCCACAGGTTGAGTGTGCACTGAGTGAAGAAAAACTTCCTTTTGTTTGTTTTAAACTTACTGCCTATTAATTTCATTTTGTGACCCCTAGTTCTTTTATTAATAATAATAATAATAATAATAATAGAAAAATGATGTATAAAGGATGCCAGAAAGCTTATAAACCTACTTCAGCTTTAAACTGTTTTGAGCTTGTCACATACTTTTGATAGGTATGTTGAAAAAAAGTGTACTTTACACTCTCACGGCACAAGGGCCCCATTTCCTCTGTGAAACTGAAAGACAATCCTGTGGCATTAGGTGGGGACTCAGCACATTTGAAAATCAAATCACTAATTTAGAATTCTATGTATGAATTGAGAAGACTAAATCTAGACTCCTATTTCTGAAGATTTTGGCCTTCACTATTCTGTTTGAGGCAATTATCTTTAACCTCTGTGCATGATTATCTCTTTCTAATAGGTCAAAGGTACATTTTTGCTTGTTTGTAATCAGTTACTGTGTCTTGCTTATTAATAGCTTGATCAAAATCCCACTGAAGTCAAATAAAGCCTCTCCATTGATTTCTATGAGACTTGCATCAATAATTGGAGAAGTCCATAATTGCTTGCTATAAAATTAAAACATTTATATATTGTCAACATTGCAATTGCTGCTGACATTCTATAAGAAAAAAATCTTTAATGACGTCCAAGCATAACCATGTACTTAATTTACTTTTTATTCTATTAGCTGAAGATAGCTGGGATCAATTTTTTTTCTTTTCTGTTTTATCTTATTTTTTTACTCTACAGGTTTCAAGATGTTTGAGTTATGACATATTTTCCACTTATTAAAAAGAGAGAATCAATAATAGAATCTGAATGTGCTGTGCAGATAGATATATTTAATTCTCTTCCATTTTGCATTGTCATACTATTGATCAAAATAAGAGGAGCTATGGGAATTTTTCTTTGCTTTGTCCTGTATTTCACAAATGTGATTCCAGTTTAAACAGAAATTTCACAGAGGTACTCTTTTAGGTAGCAGTGTTTATCTTGAAGAATCATATTAGAAATTATGAAAATCTTGAATACTAGTGATAAAAGTATCACTCAATTTTTCCTATTACTTTCTAGATAGAATCTACAGTATCTATTTTTAGGAAGTGGATTAATCTTCTATTGACTCCCATAATCCAAACTTTGCATATGAATTTAAAGATTATATGACTAGTACCTTCAATAAAGTTGATTATTTTTAAAAGAAACGAAATTGTAATGGAAATACTCTCCTCACAAAGTAATTTTGTTTTCTAATTTCACAGACTGGAAATGTGTCAATTTTGAGCCAATAGAGTTAGCTGAAGTACCATAAATATCCAGTGTTGTAGTCATATTGACAAGGTGGATAAGGCAATATCTTTTATTAGACCCGCTTCTGTTGGTGAAAGAGCTTTTGAGCTCTCACAGTTCTTCAGATCTGGGAAACTAAGGCTTTGTTTATACTAGCACTTGTGTAGGTAAAACTTTTATTGGTCAGGGGTGTGAAAAAGCTACACCTTACCAACATAAATATCACTGACATCCTGGACAGTGCTATGTCAATGAAAAATGCTCTCCCCAACATAGCTACTGTTTCTTGTTGGGGTGGTTTAATTATGTTGGCAGGAAAGCTCTTTCCTGGTGGCATAGAATGGCTAAATGGGAGACCTTGCAGTGGCACATGTGTGCTACTAGAAGATCTTTGAGTTAGGCTATGTCTAGATTACAGTGTCATAGCTAAATACAAGATCTAAACTGATTGTTTTATGTAAGTAATTACTATATATTTCAAGGGACCATTCAAGGTGAGGATGCTCCTTAGTACCCTTCCATAAAGAGGAAAAAGGAAGCAGCTGGGTTATTAGTAGGTTACAGGTTGTTGTACTATGCCATAAATCCAGTGCCTCTATTCAGTCTGTGGTTTTTAGTGCCTAGCAAAGTTATGAATTTAAAGTCTCATTCATAATGAGCAGAATGGTAAACTGTCCTGAGACACAGCTAAAAGAGGTGAAAGCACGACACCACAAACTAGACCACCTGTGTGCAAGTGGAAACATCTGAACCATTGTGGAAGACTGAGGCTGCAGACCGAGGCAAAGGTGCACGCTGTCTGAAAACGGTCAATGCTTTCAATGCCCCAATATATCTGATTTTCTCAGTGGGAGCCAGTTGTCTTCCTGATGGTTAGGATACCCAGACAGTCACGCAAATATAGTGTGATGCTGATGCAAACAAGAACTTATTACCTGGATCTGCCCCTCAGTAGCCAGTTGTCTAGATATGGGAAACTGAATTCCCTTTTTCTGTGGTACACCACAACAATGATGATGCCCTTCGTAAAAATGCAGGGGCAGAAGAGAGGCTGAAAGGAAGTACTGTACTGTGAGTCACCCTCTGTCATAATGAATCAAAGGAACTTTCTGAGGCTCAGCAAAATTGTCACATGAAAATAGACAATGAAGTTCAGAGCAGCAAACCAGCTGTTCTGAGAACACAGGGAGAAGAGGCTATAGAATGATCATTTAAAACCTCATGTATCTGATATATTTGTCGAGGCCATGAAGGTTAAGGATGGGTCTTCTTATCCCTAATTTTGGATTAAGATACAACAAACTACTGGGAGCATAAGCCAAGACTCTGGTGTACCAGTTAAACCTCCTTCACCGCTTACAAAACCAGAAGACAGAAAACCTGCTCAAAAATGGGGTCCCTGAAAAGCGACAAGGAAGAGGTGCGGAGAGGAACTGGATGACATAAGCCAATCTGATGGTGCTTAGGACCAGCTTATCAGTGGTGATTGAGCCCTAAAGCACTGTGAAAATGGGCAAGCTTGTTCCCAAAGGGGAGAGATAAGAAGGGAGGAGCAATGACTGAAACAGTGTTCTGAACCAAGGAGTCAAAGTGAGTGGTTGGGGAGGACTGGCCGAATCCAGAGCCGAACTGATTTCCCTTGTGAGAGCTACAGCTCTTTCTGGGTTAGTCCCATTACCTCAGAGGAAGGAAAGGCTAGCCAAACATACACTGTAGCCTATACGACTGCCACTGCTGAATGCCAAATACTTGGGGATCACGGTTGGTGATTGTTCCCTCATATGAAGAACAGTGTTTAAACTTCCATGAGGGCATGACGGAGGAAATCTAAACTATCATAGCTAATGCTAATCTAACACTCAGGGTATTTTCACCAAGAGAAAACTAAACCAGTTGAAGGGTTGTGAGGTTAAGACCACCTGGAGCTCTGACTCTAGCCATGGGTGGTATAAAGAACAGAGAGAAGGTCAAGGCAGTGCTATCTCATATAGCCAGAGGAGGAGTTGCAGCCATGTGGTGCTGCTAGGCAAATTTTTCCAGCTATAGTATACTGGGCATGCTCACACCTAAGTGAAATACTTGGCTGCATCTACTAGAAGTTTTCAATTACTGCAATGTTCTTTTTTTATTTGTAACACCTATATCAAAAAGTAGATCTGCAGATGCTTTAATTGAGAAAGAAATCATGGACTAAATCCAAGTTTCAAGGGATGGAACTGCTTCTTAATTAAACAGTAAGCTTCAATAATCTAAATATTACTTCAAGATATCTACTGTATTTGATTAACTCTCCTAGGCAGAGAATTGTATCTCAAGTAAATTGCTACTATCACCACTTATCATTTGGGTGTTATGAGTGTTTGACATAATGTGAAGGTGCACCGAATTAAACAAGGGTGTCTCATTCTAGTTTAAGAAAAGAGTTTCCAAAATAAGATTCCAAACCTGCAGTGAGTTTAACTTGAGTAGACTTCTTTAGCTACATGAAGCTCCATTGAAGTCACTGAAACGTATACATTTTAACATCACAAATTGACACTAACAGCTTTTCTGAAATGCCAAAGTGTCTACTTATCTTCCATGATTATATTTAAAATTAGCTTAAACACATCTTGTTCCTTTTGGTCCAAATAACTAATACAAAAGCTTGATGAGCTAACTAAGCACTTTTCATTTAAAAATGTGATTTGTTTTTAAAGGAGAACGCAGGGAAATTCCTCACCTCTACAGAATCAATAATTTGCTTACACTTTTCATTATTCACTGGCTGTGTACATTATGACATGGTATTTCTAATTTAGAGATAAATTCATGGCTTTTGTGTGCCTTCCCACACACTCTTGGGAATTTCACTAATAAATCACTGTACTGTATTTATGTGACAAGCTGTGTTTTACATGAAGTCTCCAAACAATCCATACTTCAAAGTAGTTGAAAGACACATACCTTGAAGATTTTTTGTCTTTGGCATCACATAATAGAAGCTCCTTGCAAGGAGATTTATTTTCTATATCTTCCTGTTTTGTTGTGTCTGACACAGATTTCACAGATGATCGACTAGGAGCTGAAGACTTGGTGCCAGTGTGACCAGGGCTAGGACATTTTCTGTCACTATTAAAACAAATTGATACACATTTTAAATCTGAGCTATCAGCTTATTTTCAGTAAAGTCAATGGAAGTTTTACCTGTGACAATGAGTAAATTTACACAGAATTTTGGAGCAAGTGGAAATGAGCGTACAAGACGGAGTGGACAAACTTGAGCTAGCAAGACTGGCGCTAGTGCTCTAAAAGTAGCTATATACACAGTGCTTTGAAGTTGTAGCTATAGTTGGAGCTATAGCTGAACCCTAGATTTTCCCCTGTTAATAGCAGGGAAGAAATTTTTATTTTTTTAAATGTATGATTTCTTGCTGTATCAGTTTGACTTTCTTTAATTACAGCAGTGAATCTTCAACCACACCCAAAATAAGCTACAAATGGTCTGGTAGCACTTTATAGATTAACAAAACATGTAGATGGTGTCATGAGCTTTTGTGGGTGCAGCCCACTTCTTCAAATGACTGGAGTTATGAGTAGGGGATATGAAAACTCAAAATAGAAGAGGGAAAGGAGAGGGGGGAGAAAAAGGAAGGGGGGTGCGAGACAGAATATCATTAAGTATCTGGAGAATGGGTACTTCAACCTAAGCAGGTCAAAGTAGATCTGTCTCTCACACCCCTTTCTTTTTTCTTTTTCTCCCCCCTCTCCTTCCCCTTTCCTATTTATTTCAAGTTTTCATATCCCCTACTCATAACTCCAGTCATTTGAAGAAGTGGGCTGCACCCACAAAAGCTCATGACACCATCTACATGTTTTGTTAATCTATAAAGTGCTACCAGACCATTTGTAGCTTATTTTGGGTGTGGTTGAAGATTCACTGCTGTAATTAAAGAAAGTCAAACTGATACAGCAAGAAATCATACATTTAAAAAAATAAAAATTTCTTCCCTGCTATTAACAGGGGAAAATCTAGGGTTCAGCTATAGCTCCAACTATAGCTACAACTTCAAAGCACTGTGTATATAGCTACTTTTAGAGCACTAGCGCCAGTCTTGCTAGCTCAAGTTTGTCCACTCCGTCTTGTACGCTCATTTCCACTTGCTCCAAAATTCTGTGTAAATTTACTCATTGTCACAGGTAAAACTTCCATTGACTTTAATGGGAGTGGATTTTACCCAACACTCAGTGCCTTTGAAAATAGGCTACCACTGTATTATAAATAGACAATACTTTTAAAATTTCTTCTTACAATTTTGCTTTAAAATATATGCATTCTTGTGTCTTGGATGATTAAAGTAGATTAGGATCTGATAATGTTCCCACTTAAGTGAAGCTACTTATCAGTGTGTAGTCAATTTCATTTTCAGTTCTAATTACAATTTGGGGATAATTAAACCAGATAATGAATATTTAACAGGTGAGCACTCTTTGTTCTTAACTGTAAAGTTGGGCTTCTCCATAAAAACAGCATTTAAAATACCATATACAGTATTCAAAATTCAAGGGGGTTAAATTCTGGAGTGCAAATAAGTTACCACTAAAACATTTCACACAAAAGTTACCCTTCAAAGTATTGCAAGCCCCTCTCTCGTCCTGACATTTAAAATTGATTTTGCTGTAAAAACTACGGCTTTTGATTAATCACACTGTTAGAAAATAATAATGTATTAAATATTTTTGGTGTTTTTCTACATTTTAAAATATATTGATTTTAATTACAACACAAAAAACAAGGAGTACAGTCAATGAGGAGTCCTATGGCACCTTAGAGACTAACAGATTTATTAGGACATAAGCTTTTATGGATAAAACCCACTTCATCAGATGAATTGGAATGGCAGTTATGTTCCTCTGATGAAGTGGATTTTACCCATGAAATCTTATACCCTAATAAATCTGTTAGTCTCAGAGGGCATGTCTACAGTAGGAAATTATTTCAAAATAACAACTCCTGAAACAACTATTTTGAAATAGGGCATCCATGCTACAGGGAACCTCGAATATAGTCCAAGGCAGGCTCCCTTAATGTGGGCACACTACCTCAACTTAGAGCCCCAGGAAACACTGTGGAGTAATTACTTTGAACAACTCTGGGGAGTAGTTATTTCAAAATAGCAACAGTGGGCATCCACACTACTGCTATTTGGAAATAACTATTTAGAAATAAGCATTATTCCTCCTGGAGAGCAGGAGTTATTTCAAAATAACCTCCGGAGGAGAGAGGTCGCGCCCCACGAACCGGCTTTTAAGCCCGCTCCCCGCCCATACTGTCCACGTAAACACTTCCACATCCCTAGACAGACTAAGCAACAATGGTCTCAAGTTGCAGTGGGGGGTCTAGGTTGGATATTAGGAAAAACTATTTCCCTAGGAGAGTGCTGAAGCAGTGAAATGGGTTGCCTAAAGAGGTGGTAGACTCTCCACCTTTAGAGGTTTTTAAGGCTCTGATTGAAAAAGCCCTGGCTGGGGTTGGTCCTGCTTCGAGCCGGGTTCCCCCACGGCATACCAGCCTTAAATGTAAAAATTCTGGATCGTAGTGGGAACTCGTCATGAGCCAGAAATCAACTGGCCTGGCTCATGCCAGGTCCCCACCACTGCGCACCAGCCTTTTAATGGCTCCTAATACATTTAACAGGCTGAAGCGCAGCAGGAAGGATCTAGCATGAGCCATGCCAGCTGATTCCTAGCTCGCGCTGGTCCGTCCGCTGCACTTCTGATTTATAAATGTATTAAGAGCAGGCAGGCTCTTAATACATTTAAAAAGCAGAGGTGCAGCATCTGGGACTGAGGGCGATCTGGGAATCACCTGATTCCCAGCTCACGCCTGTTCCTCACTATCCTCCTGCCTCCCCTGACTCCTGCAGAGATTGTGCTAGGGGAACCGGCTTTTAAGCCAGCTTCCCACAGCACTGGCTCCTGCTCTCCCCAGCAGGAGTAGTTAGTCAAGGGACTAGTTGCATACATCCCTAATTTGTACTACAACACCGCTCTACCAAACTTGCCATCATCTCTAACGTGGCGGGTGATGGAACAGTGGGATGAGAATGTATTTACTGAGAAGCAAATTATTGCTCGACAGATGTCTTGGATCAGAAACGCTACCAATGAAGCCTGAGCTCTCGAATGGGCATTCAAGGTGTCTTTTTTTGGACTAGGCTGAATTTATGGCAGATTTGACAATGCTCTTGTATGTGAGCTTCCTTCAGACACTTCAGTCAACTGGAGTGTGGTTCGCTCACCAGTATGGGCTTTCCGTAGGATGCACAGGGTGTGAAGCCTGGAGACAGGGGCACCTCTGCCCTAGGGGCAGAGGATGCCTTCAAATCTACAAGAGGAGGTAGAGCTGTAGGCATCAATACTATATACATGATGTACACTGCTCCTAGAAATTAAAACTGAAGATAACTAGAGAATAATAGAAATCTTCGAGTGTCTTGCTGAAGCAGACAAAGTTGTTTCAGTGACTGTCACAGGTGGTAAAAATGAACAGAGAGCATGGGGTGGCCAGGCCCCTTGTATCAGTGCATGAGCATATAGCAGCACAGATCACTAGAGCAAACCTGACAGGTACTAAGTGAAAAATCTCTGGTGTCAAAGCATGTAGTGTGCGCACACCTAACATGGTATGTAAATGAGCAAGCTCTTGAAGGAGAATCAATAGCTCCAGCCTTAACTGCAGGCCTACTGCTGCTCTTGTAAAACTCACCCCCAATAATCTAATTCCCCACAAAACAAAACTGATTAGGGCGAATTTTTCAAGAACCATTCACAGACACATATCAGTGCAACTATTTTAGCAAATGTTAAAATACAAAATAATTTCCAAAAAAGCAAGCATCAATTTTTGTTAGCCCAATCCCCTGCAGGCTCAGCTCTGGTAGGGCCATTTCTTCTCTGGAAATGGTAATGTAGAACAAAACATGGGCCTTTTGGGACTATATAGCCTTCAAATTCTGTGAATTATATATAGCATTTAGATAAGATATTATTATTATTGTAATATAGTTTAGATTTTAATTACTTGATTACAGGAGAGGTTGATCTTTCATTTGCGTCTGTCTTTCTGTTCTTGGGCACAGATGGACTGGCTAGTGGCATCTCTCCACTTAAACGATCTGGTAAGATACGTTCTTTGTTCAAGTTGACATCAGAATATGGGCAGCTGACAACACTGAAAATTGAAGAAAAGAGAAATACTTCCATTAGCTCAAACACTGAACAGACGTACCCTAATTTAAGTGAACAGATTATAGATTCCAGCCTGAAATAATGAACACAATTGAAAGGAATGCTTTGGTGCATTCTCACTTTCAAGTATTATAAAATACACTGGATTTTTGGAATGCCAACTTGTACGCATCTATCTTACTCTCTTTTTCTACAGCAATTTACTACCACAGGGCCAGTATTACATCATAAATTCTGGAATCAAATAGAAAACCAAGCATGAATGTTCATTAACATACCAGCTAAAACTGGAAACTAGAACAGTGCCATTAAATTCACACAGTAAACACAGGTATCAAATATTTCCGTTATTAAGAAACAAACATGTTGTGTTGCTGCTTTGATTTCCAAATTGGCTCTTTCACCGCACCAGACAATTACCTCCGAATCCTAGCTAGACTTCTATGGATTCTGGTTCTCCTCCCTTTTTGGTCATCCTGCTGGTTTCTGAGGAGCCCAACAGTATTTTATAGAGAATATACGTCAGATATCATTCCAGTTATCCTCTCCTTTTGACCAGACTACCCCATTCCACTATACACTATGGCTATGTCTACTCTGTAGCATTTTGTCGGCAGAGGAAATGCAAATGAAGCACTCATTAGCATTTTTCACGCTCTCATTTGCATAGTCTCTTCCGAGGCTTTTCGCGCAAGAGGATTTTGTGCAAAAACAAGCAGTGCAGGAGGGCGAGGGAAAAAACAGTGTAGGCAGGGCCATTAGCTCAAAAAAACCCTTTTGCATGAACCTGTATACCTCCTTTTTAGAGCCATAAGGTTCTTGCACAAAAGGGTTTTTTTTTTTGCACAAAACGGACCCCTCTACACTGCTTGTTTTTGCGCAAAAACCTCTTGCGCAAAAAGCACCGGCAGAGAATATGCAAATGACAGCACGACAAATGCTAATGAGCACTTCATGCGCATACTCTCTGCTGGCAAAAGCCTGCAGTGTAGACATAGCCTATTTGTAGGAGAATTAAAAGAATCATGACCCCATAGTTATTTGTCCTACACTAACATTTTACAGAGAATGTTACTACTCCACTATTCAACTCCAATTCAGGACAGTGATTAGCCCATATTCTGATTGGCTGTTAGAATTTTTAAAAATTTATATTACATTCAAAAATACCTTCAAAGAATGTTATTTAGATTGCAAAGCCAAACACTTGAAAGGTAGGCAATGCCAGATTTATAGCTGTCCATCACTTGGCCCATCCTATGCAGTGAATGAGGCAGTTCTGTATCATGTAATTAAAGGCATTACCATAATACACAGGAAGGGGATGAATTAAGATTGCCTGAGTAACCACAAAACAGGAATTTTCCAACTTTCAAGTCCTTCAAACCTAAATAGCGTAGTTTTTATATTGGGAATTTCCTAGTTTATTTTTTAAATTGACAATGGTAAAACTCAGTTTCATTATGCCCAGCTGTAACAATCTCCCCATCCTCTATCATCAGCAGAACCCTAAGCATCGTACTACCTGGCAAGCTACAGTAGAAGGCAGCAGAAGAAGGCAGGACGACAGGCTACTGCACTATGTACTGGGTCCAGGGAATGGTCAAGAGCCCAGCCCTGCTCTCTCTCTTCCCTACTCTGGTAGATGGACTCCCGTTCCAAGGGGTGTCTCCAAATGTGAGGGCATTGAACCTTGCGCTAGATCTAAAGAACTTATAGAGAAGAAAATGGTTATTTTTAACCTTTTACAACATTCAGTCCTTGAGGCCATGGGACCCAAGAGCGTACCCCGTTGTCACTGAGCAGGACTTCAAGCTCTGGGAAAGGAGTCTATGGTCGGACACCTTGCCAGCAGGAGACAAGCTCTGGCAATCTTGTAGTTGAAGACTGCCCCTAAGAAGGTTTTGTGCTATACTGCTTGTAACTTAGATGTGTCCAAATTCAGTTTCATGTCCAAACAGGAAAACAGCATCCTGATAATTAAGATATTGTTTTGGACATGGTTGTGTGATGCTCCATGAATTAGCTAATCGTTGAGATATGGAAATACCTGAATACCATAACAGCAGAGGTGGGTTGCTACCACTACCATGCACTTGGTGAAGATCCCTGCGGCAGATGACTGTGCAGAGAAAGTATTGCTAAGTGGAAACATGAATCCTGCAGATTAAGGTCAGCATATCAATCTCCAGGAAGAGACAAAGAAGCAAGAACTAGATCATCCTGAACTTTATTTTTTTGAGAACATACTTTGCTTGCTTAAATCTAGGATGGGATTGAGGCCACCAGATTTCTTTGGGACCAGGATGTAATAGGAATAGAAGCCTCTGGCTCTGTGTTGGTAAGAAACGTCTGTTTCTCCCAATTCTAGAAGTCACTGTAGTTCTTGAAGTAACTATCTCTGAGAAGGGTCCCTGAAAAGGAAAGAAGGTGGTGTGCTGGGGAAGGGAAGGGAGGTAAACTGGCTAATATATCTTTGCCTCACTGTATAGAATACCCATTTGCCCGACATGGTGCTTTCCCATGCACAATGAAAAAGAGACAGATATGACCTGAAGGGAGAAGATACACCATCCTTGACTAAGAAGTCAAAATAGTGGTTTGGATGCTGCAAATATCTGATTGATAAAGACAATTGGTGACACGGATGAATCCTGGGCCTTCTTTCATAGACACACTGTCACCTCTGTTCAAAAAAGGTTTTGGAATAAGATTACACTCTAAATTGTTTCTTTTATTTAAGCTCAGAATGAAAAGTCCTTTGTATGCATAGCATTATCTGTTCTGTCAGAAAACAGTTTACAGACCCCCTCAAAATAAAAGCCTTCTATAGTATTCTGTGGCTCCCTTAGAATGCCAGATACCTGAAGTCAGGAAGAATGCCTCATGGAGACTGCACTGGTTACAAAATGGGGGGCTATATCAGCAGCGTGTAAGACAGTGGTCTTGACTATGATCCGGAATCAAGAAAGACTCCAAAGCCACAGGGTAAAGAGCTAGTTACTCTTGTTGTGGGATATATCATCCCTCCACTCATTTGGCTGTTGTAGGCAGACAGGCTACAGTCTGCCAAAGGCTTTTCACTGGCTCTAAGTAGGCTTTATTGAAAGGGGGTGTAAAATATCTAGAAGAGTATAGGATTTCTCTTACACAACTTCCATCTGCCTAGGGCCTCCCTCTTCATGAGGTCCTGAAAAACTCTGAAAGCCTCTTGGTATTACGATGAGAGGCACAAATCTTGATAGATTTCCACTCCATACGACTAACTTGACACCATGCAAGGCACTGCATTACCAGAGGGGTAGCTGTGTTAGTCTGAATCTGCAAAAGCGGCAAGGAGTCCTGTGGCACCTTATAGACTAACCAAAGTGTTGGAGCATAAGCTTTTGTGGGCAAAGACCCACTTCGTCAGATGCATCTCTCCACTCATTTGGCTGTTGTAGGCAGAGAGGCTACAGTGTCTCTGACGAAGTGGGACTTTGCCTACGAAAGCTTATGCTCCAACACTTTGGTTAGTCTATAAGGTGCCACAGGACTCCTTGCCGCTTTTGCAGATTCAGACTAACATGGCTACTCCTCTGATACTTGACAAATCTTGAGTGATGGCCTCATCTGGTGTAGAAATATGGAGAAAATATAAGGATTCTTCCTCTAATTCTTCCTCTTCCATGGGGTCCAGCTCAACAGGACGTCAACAGGATGCTGAGTCGTGGTTTACTGCAACGGAGGAGTAGGAAATGCTCTTAGATTGTGACCATGCAGGAGGTCTAGTGTCTCTAAGAGCAGGCCACAACCAGTAAGGCTATCCATAGTCTGAGCCATCCACTGCAGGGAACTCCATGCTGGGACTTATTTATAAGAGGACCACTCTTGACCTTTTGGTCTTATAGTGGTAGAAGACTTGTAAGACCATCAAAGGATCTCTAAGACCAAGCAGGTTTATCTCTTTCAAAGACAGACAAGATTTAAATGCCTCGGAAAGGGCAAGAGTAGTTCCTGTGAGATTTATAGATGACCTAGGCGTAGGAGACATTTGGTTCCAAGAAAGCAAGGGTCGGGGTGGGCAGAATGGTGATGAAGTAACTGTGCTGTGGGCATAGATGGTTGAAGAGAAGATGGAAGGGCTATCAGATGCTCTCTGTGCTGTGGGCATAGATGGTTGAAGAGAGATGGAAGGGCTATCAGATGCTCTCTTGGGGCCCCAACAAAGGTGACAGAGTGGAGCTGAGGAAGCGGTTATTGTTGATAGTAAAGGAGAATCCAGAAAGGAAAAACAAAGGTGACCCCATGAGTATGCCAACATCCCTGTGCATTAATAATGACAGTGGAGCTAACAGTCTAAAATGGCTGAAGAGGTGGAGAAGGCATACACTTGATGGCAGCCATAAAACACTTGCCCCTCACATAACCCACATCAAGACAAATCAAAACTCTTACACCTACCTGTGACAATATAACAGCTCTGCAAATGTGCACTGTTTAAAACCGGGGGACTTTCTTCATAATAAATCTTCCAGGTACCATTACAAACTATACTGCATATTGAACAATATACTCTAAAAATTTCTGCAAGCTTGCTAATTGAAGTAAATATTATGGAGAGCTGCAACTTTCACTACAGGTCATGAAAAGGAAGTGAGAGAGAAGCAGAAGGCATGTCCCTTTCATGCTATTACTTGTAAGTATGAGGAAAGCAGGGATGGATGTGATATTGAGTGATACTGTTGGTAAAAGTCTCTCATTTGAATACACTGGGTACAGATGCACCTCCTACAGTGGAATGCATATGTGCACAATCACTTGAAGGAAAAACTTATTTTCTAGCTAGATATACTGGACAATATCTCCAATTTTTTTCCTCATACAGTTGTACTGGACAGAAGTTCAGGAGAAAAATACTTCAACATATTAACTGTTTCTATTTAACAAAATGTGACTGATATAGAATGGCTCATAGAACAAATTAGATTACCATCCTTCAGA